GAGTCAGACACACACACACACACACACACACACACACACACACACACACACACACACACACACAGCCTGACCACCAGTGATCTGTCTCTGAGGATTTAGTGGTCTGGTGTGGTAATTGAGTTTGCTGACCTGTAGACCGACCCTGGTGGAGAGCAAGAAAATGACATTAAATAGGAGTCACATCAGAGGCCTGGCTGTGTGTGTTTGTGTCACAAAGGTAATAGTATAATACTCGCCTCTAAAAAGACCGTACACAGACCATGGAGAAGATACACGCTATTACAAACACTTGCACACATACACACACACACACACACACACACACACACACACACTGACAAACACAGGTGTTTCTTAAACTACAGCAACTTGTATGCCCCAGGGTTTGTTTTTTTTTGTTATATGATGGCCACATTAAATCTGTCTCCTGAAAGCTTTGTCTACAGGGCCAAAAGTGGCCACAATTGAAGAAACACCCTCACACATGCACACAGCTGTACCTCTGCGCTACTGAGCCCCAGGCTCCGTGTTTATTGGTGAGGATGTTGAGGATCTTCTGTTTCAGCTGATTGGCTGTCACATGATCACGGTGTTTGGAGGCACTGATGAGGTGATCACACATAGTCTCCTCTTCTTTTCTGTCTGCCATGTACTGTGCGCAGTTAGACTGACCGAAATATGGATGAAAGAGAGAGAGAGAGAAAAGATGTAAAAGATTAACAACTATAGTAAACATCACAATGAATCCGTATTCTGAAAACAAGAACTCAGTTGGATGAATTGAGGGACAGTTCATCCAATAATGAAGTGTCATCCTTTTCTCATCCTCATGAGTATCTGAAGTTCGTTCTTTCTCATGCAGAACACAGAAGAAGACATTTTAAAAAGGGCTTATTGTCCATATAATGAAAATCAATGAGGTCCAGTGATGTTTTGACTTTCATTCACCCCACTGACTTTCATTACAAACTAGTGCTGTCAAACGATTAATCGCGATTAATCGCATCCAAAATAAAAGTTTGTTTACATAATAAGTGTGTGTATTGTGTATATGTATTATGTCTATATAAATACATACACATGCATGTATATATTTAAGAAAAACGTTTTGTTTACATATAAAATATTAATATGCATATATAATATAAAGTATATTATATATATATATATATATATATATATATTATGTAAACAAAAACTTTTATTTTGGATGTGATTAATCTCGATTAATTAACACTATTTCAAACAGTTAAAACATTCTTCAAAACATCATCTGCAGAACAAAGTCAGTCATACAGGTTAGGAATTACGTGAGTGTGTTTTTTTTCTTCATTTTTGGACTGTTCCTTTAACCCTCTGGGGTCCGAGGGTGTTTTGGGGCCTGGAAAAGTTTTGACATGCCTAAGAACGTCCATTACTTTACCATGTCAACATACAGTGCAACATACCATTTACTTATCCTGATATTGTTCCAAACCTGAGTATGTATTTTTCTGTGGAACATTAAAGAACATATTTTAAAGAATGTCTTTTTTTTTTTTTTTTTAAGTTAGTGAGGTCTGTGTTGTTTTGGACATTGACTTTCATTATATGGCGAAAACAACTAAAACATTCCTCAAAACATCTTCTTTTGTGCTCTGCAGAAGAAAAAGTCTTAGAGGTTTGGAAAGACATGAGGGTTTTTTCATTTTTGGATGAACTGTCCCTTTAAGAACAAAGAATGTTTTCCATTACTTTACCATGTCAATATACAACATATATCATATTTACCACTTACTTTCCCATTTACTCATCCTCACGTTGTTCGAAACCTAAATGATGTTCTCACTTCTGTGGAACACAAAAGAAGATATTTTACAGAATGTCTCAGAATTTTTATTTTTTGTCCATACAGTGAAAGTTTATAAGGTCCTGTGTTGTTTTGGACCCCACTGACTTTCATCATATGGACAAAAACAGCTGAAACATTCCTCAAAACATCATTTTTTTGTGTTCTGCAGAAGAACTTTCAGAAGAACAAGGTTTGGGATGACATGAGTGTGAGTTTGGGTTAACCGTCCCTTTAAAGGGGATATCGGATGCCCATTTTCCACAAGTTGGTATGATTCTTTAGGGTCTTTATGAAATGTCTGCAACATACTTTGGTTAAAATGCCTCAATGGTCGTGTAAAACAACACCCTTTTGACCTAGTAAAAAACAGCTCTGTTTACAGCGGCCCATTTCAGTGCATGTCTCTTTAAATGATAATGAGCTACTGCTCACTCCACCCCTCTCTTCCATTTGTTTTTGTGTATTTGGTGGCACATTACCATCAAAAACAAAACTAATCTACTGCAGCCTCAGTGGCTCTGATGTTGGGAAAATGAAGACTTCACTTTTACATTCAACTACAAAACACCTGCATTGCTCGCGAGACATTGCTGTCGCTACAGCAGCTTGAGCGCGGAGAAATTGGCAGACCGCGTACAACTTGCTGAGGGTGGAAATATGCTAATATGGGACAGTCCGTCAGTGGTTGTGGGTGGGGCCTAAGCGGTATGATGTCATACTGCTCAGAAAATCAAAACGGCTTGATAATGTTCTTTTGGGGCTGAAAAAATATATGCAAAGTGAATTTTGCATCTGATGTCCCCTTTAAGAACCAAGAATTTCTTCCATTACCTTGTCAGCATAATACATATATTGTAGTACTTTTTCTTTGGGGTTGTAAAGGCCCTTAAAATTATTTGATGGCATAGACACTACCAGATAAGAACAAAACTTGAAATGAATTGAGCTGGACGATAACACTATTGTCTTTTGTAGAGCTGCTTTATAGCTGAATAGAATACTGAACTGAATTGAATCAACACTGAAATGGCTTGAGCTGAATAACACCACTGTTGAATTCTGAAGAGCCGCTTACAAACAAACTGAACTTGTTTTATAATTAAACTTTATTTACTGAACTGTCATAGCAGAATTTTAATTTGTCTCATATTTGAAGAATTCTGCATCATTGATTCTGTTATTACTGTGAAGGTGCATCTGTGTTGTATAAAGCACTATAACTTTAAAGTTCACTTTTTACACAGACAGAAGCTACAAACAGGCACTATAAACAGCACTGAGACTAAAAGGTCTCTCAGACTAAGGGTGACATGAAGCAGCCCGCTGACTTTATCTTCCCCGCTACAATAAGATTGTCTTCCCACGTGGACCCCGGGGGGGATCTCTTGCTAATATTCAAAATCGAATTTGCTAACACAAGCTGGTGGGGTGCAAGGGAACAGAGAGGAGGGGTGAGAGCAAGTAATTGAATTTCCTTCCTTATATTTGAATTCTGTCAGATATTATACCTCGACATATTCTTCAAACGGCCGATAACTCAATCTCCCGGCGTCATCTCTCCTTACCATGCGCCGCGCTGACAAATATCAAACGTTATTTATCACTTCAAGGGAGGATATGAGGGTTGAAACTGACACCAGCTTAATTGTAAAAATATCTTATCTGCTTACAGAATCTTCAATCTGTAGACGGAGGTAATAAAGAAGAGGAGGAACGAAAACCGTGCACCCATCCTTCTCCAGGACTTGATGGGCAAGACGACGTCTTTGGTTAGCTGTGACATCGCCTATCTAGAGCCTGCTGCTTTTTATCTAGCAGGTCAAGGATCCTCAAGAGCAGTATATAAAACAACCGTCTCAGACAGGCTGCGCGTTGCAGATAGGAAGCTCATCACTCCATCACTTCATGTACTCGTGCGTCTATGTGAAAGAGTGTGT